TAAAGTTAACGTTAGTTAGAAAAGATAGTCGCGAACAATGTCCCCCACCCCTGCGCGCGCTCAGCGGGCCACGGTAAAATTATCAAAGGCTGACTGGTCCGCGGCGATAAAAAGGTTGGGGACCACTGTTCTAGATAATTTCTATGGTGTCATATACCAATTACACATCATTTTATAAAAAATCCCTTTGAGAATATAACACAATAAACTTTCATTGTTTTTTACCACATATTTTCCTACTGATCAATCCGTAAATTATAATCAAAAATTTTAGTCATACATTCTTTAACCTGGTCTTTCTCTGTATCAAATTTCAACAAAACAGTGCAATTTTAAACAATTAGTTATTCATCATCATGCACAATTGTACTTTAAATTGTCTCTCTATGCCAAAAATCTTTTTGTCCACTTTGAATATTTTTGATAACTGCAAATGAGAAACCATTGATAATTATATCCTTAATTGGTCTCTTTACATAATTAAAAATTGTGTTTGATGATTTCCAAATAATTTCCTATAGGTCAACTATTTTTCTTTGCGGTTTCTTTTTTACAATATGCTTCTTGAGCTGAGATCCACAAAGGTGTTCCCCCGCCCCACCGAGGATGGAGTCACAGCTGAGATTCATGGATTTCATTAAGGATCTTCAGTTTAAATAACCTGAGCAGTGAATTCAGCCAAAGGATTTAATTGCTATTCTCGGTAATGACAAGATATTTGGATCCCATCGCTTTTGTCTCTCGCCATTGCAGTTAGGGCTAGATCCTGCCCCTGCCAACTGAGCGCATCCTTGGGTCTGTTCTTTTAATTATCCCGTTCCCCCACGCGCCTGATATGATCGCTAAGGAAGTCTTCTGACTGGTGGCATAAATACTTCAAAAGCAAGAAGTAATACTTCTAAGACTGGGAAAGATTTCCCTATATCCCTGAAGCAAAGAGGGTGACGCCAACCTCCTCCCCGTCCGTGTCAGGAGGAGTAGGAGCAGCAAGGGCGCCAGGTGTTCGGGCGATTCCGGATGGCAGAGATGGCTGAGACTTCTTTTCACGCAGGGTGTTAAAGAGGGCGGACGGCGAAAAGTCAGCCCTGTGCCTTCCAGCCAGGAGAAGCAGGAGGCGGGGGAACCCCTGTCTCAGGTTGCCGAAGAGGCTGCGCCTTTCTGTCTCAGCGGCGCCTCCTGACTTTTTCAAGTTGTGGGGCGGTGGCTGTTTCGTGTAAGTTGCTGCAGTCCGCTGGCTAGTGGAGGTGAAGCCCGGCTTTGATGGCTCTTGACGCGCTTCTGGGTTCCGGCCCTCTCCTGCTCCTGGGTGAGGATTGACGTTTCCTTTCTATCTACCACGGTGGTCGGGTGGGTTCCTGGCTACTTGCTGCTGCTCTTGCATAGAACACCCTTCGATAGCTTCACGGCAGGCAGACGTTCAACAGGTGCGTCCTTTTCTGACAGAAGTTATGCAACTCTTATGCCAGGGGACCTTTGCGGGAAAAGAGAATGACATTTGTAACTCAGTCCTACTGTCAGTATTTCTCTTTTCTGGCAGGGATTTCCAAACAATTTATAAACTTATAAGAGTCTCTTATAAGAGAGAGGGGCGGCATATAAATTAAATCAATCAATAGCATATGAATTCAATAAGCAAGTAAGTTAATAAACAAACCCCCAGCAGGTTTAGCTTCACTTGCAGTGTTTTTGCTTGTCCTGGATAGGAACTCTGCTAGAAAAAAGAAAGCAAGAAAGAAATCAACCTACCCATTTCTTCAATCTAGGTGAACAGCAAAGTGCTTGCAATTATCACTGTTTGTGACTTTGTAATACAAAAAGAGATCAATTTTTTTTAGATAGGAAGCACTGTGGAAAGATAGCGGCTTTCAAGACAAGGCTTCATACCTGCCCTCGTGGCATATGATCAAATCTACTCCATCATCTGAAAACCATTGCTCATTTATGATAAAGTCAGAGCCTTCCTTCCTTCCTTCCTTCCTTCCTTCTTTCNTTCCTTCCTTCCTTCCTTCCTTCCTTCCTCGCTTCTTTCCTTCCTTCCAAGTTTTGCATTCAGGTCTTGCTATTGAAATCAAGTACCCACATTTTATGGCTAAGGAAATCCAAAGTAGGATTTTTTTCTGGTGCCAAGTATATCATCAATTAGATTAGGTTGCCTTCGCTACACATTGCTTGGCAGGATACCCATTAAATAGAGTACCTAAGTGCCTATTTTTATCCCGTGTGTTTATTTTAAGGGGCCTTAGAACCCAGGGCAGTTTGAAACAAGTTAAAAGGTAAAGAAAGGCTGCTCTGGTCTAATCACAGGCCAGCCTATATAGTTTGTAAAATTTCTTATTTAAGTGGGCTTATTAAATTATATTGTTTGTTAACTAAGTTTTGCAATAATATCACCAGACATCACTAACAATCTATTACATTATAGAGAACTGAAAATAATTTCTGTATTAATTTGCATTGTATTATAACTTTGCATTATAAACTCATGACGTTTCATAGTATCTGTTTTTCAGCAAAAGAAATCAGTGTAATTTATAATCCACAACATATTAATTAGGGCTATTTTAAAATATTGACATTCAGAACATATGTCTGGATTTGTTTATTTGATAGTAATAGTTTTTTGGAAATACTTTCTGCCAATTAATTTTACTAAACATCACATTATTTATATTGATAGCAATTTAAATATTGGAATATTTTCTAGTTCTATGGCACTTGCCTTGAGATATTGCAAGTGGTTTAACTGGATTACATGTTTTTCTGGAACTCCTGGAATGTTTTAATACTAGTAGTCAAAGCTTAGTGATGAAACACACCGTTTAAAAACTTCCATGCCTTTCTGTTCCTACTTATTTCCTTTGTTGGGACACTGTTGTGTTGTTGCTTTTCCTGGAAATGAAGTCTACTTTCGGGACAAAGAACTGTTCATATATCTGGTGTATAATGTCCATTGTATAAGTGTTACAAGATAAAGTGTCCCTCAAGTTAAGTTCAACTCCTGGAGACAAAATTGAGACATTCGTATTGCTTCTTTGACAATAGTGTGGAAGTGGCTTGCTGTATTTTTCCCCCAGGATATTTCTTCTCTAGTCTACCCACCCACAGATCTCACATTCAGGTACTGTGAATAAATGCCTAACAGACCTTGGGAACATAAAGGAGGCAACAAGACAATTAATGGAATAAACAGGGCTATGACTTGAGCCAGGGAAAAAGGGAAGTATGAGAAAGAGGATAATTCCATTTTAATTATAACTTATAGTAAGTATATGGTTATGCTTATAATAGATAGAAATTTTAAACATATTAATATTTTCTGCAATTTATAAATATTAACATTTAACTCACAGAGAAGTAGGTGAATGCATCATGCAGTCAGAATTTCACTGCCAAATTAAATCTTAATCTTCCAAAATCTAGATTTCTCTTTAATCTCAAAACAATAATTTTTTTCATTTACATAATTTAAACAGTTTAATGATGCATAATATTTTAATCAAGCCTTCAAAACTTTACCAAGTTACCTGTACTATTTTTCTGTACATCTGTCATAATTGGGACAAATTTTACATATATGTTACTGCATTTTGTAACCATGCACTTACAGTATCTTAAGAGTATTCTCATTTTAGTTACTAAACTTGGATTTATAACACTTTCCATAATCTAATATAATTTTCCTTAAATATGCTGGCTAAGAATTCTGGAAACTGTGATCCCAATGTGTCTGAAACAAGAAGTTGGAGATTGACCAACTATTGCAAATATTAATTATCTTTTGGTGTTATGTGTTCTTTTTATTACATGGTTCTTATATTATGTTGAATTCATGGCTTAAATATTTATTGTTGACATTTAATATTTATAATAAATATTCTTGATATTTGGCAGTTCTTATTTATTTACTGAATTTTATATGGTGTCCTAGTATAGAAGGACTGATCATTGAAAAGAGGCAGAAGGATTCTCCTGAAATTGCCATCAATTTATCAATTTGCCCAATAGGAGTGGGAACAACACTGCTTCCAGGAAAAAAAAAATCTGCTGCAGTAGTTATCTTCTTTTTAAAACTTTTTGTGGTTTCTTCATACATGCACATTTGTGAAAAAGTGTGCAGGTGTGCAAAATTGGAAATATTTGGATAAATTGCATTCGGTAGGCAAGAATAAGGGTGAGGAAAAATAATTTATGAATATCATTATCCAGTCTAAGAAAGCTTTAGTAAGAGTGACTTAGTTTGTATAGTTGATATACAACTCTTTTTTGGAAAGAGCTAATAAAGGGGATTGAGGATTAATTCCAGGTCACCTGCTGAAGAAATTCTTAGAAATGTTTGTTTGAGGCCTCCTGTGATGAAAATATTATTCAGTAATAGTAGGCTGACTTGGAAGACTATATTGATATCAGTGAATAAGCCCCTTCAAATCTTGTCAAGCTTCTCTCATAGAGCAAATCTGTGGACTAAAAATGAGCACTCTCTCAGTTTTTCCTTGTCTGGGGAAGTTCTGTTAGCTGTTTAACAAAGATGTGTTAATCTACCACTGTGCTATTAGAAGTAGACTTTTTAAAGTTCAAACAGTTGAGGGAAAATGTTATGAGTATTTAAAGTGTATTGAACATAGGTAATGTAAGTAAAAGGGATGCGGTGACTCAGTGGCTAAGACGTTGACCTTGTCAATCAGAAGATTGGTAATTCAGCAGTTCAAATCCCTAGTACTGCATAATGGAATGACCTCCCATTACTTGTTCCAGCTTCTGCCAACCTAGCAGTTTGAAAGGACGTAAAAAATGCAAGTAGAAAAATAGGGACCACTTTGTTGGGAAGGTAACAGCGCTCTGTGCACCTTTGGCATTGAGTCATGCTGGCCACATGACCATGGAGATGTCTTTGGACAGCGCTGGGACTTTGGCTTTGAAATGGAGATGAGCACCCCTCCTAGATAGAACTGGAAAACAACTAGCACACATATGCAGGGAAACCTTTACCTTTAATGTAAGTAATCTAAAGTATTACAGTAAGCCATTCAGAAATTTTTCAAACTGGAAATTTTTTTAAGGCATAGCAAAACCCACATTAGCTGTTAGGATTCAGATAGTGAAATGGGAATTGTATCTTTAGAAATAAGAAACAAGCAGTACACTTAGTAGAAGTATTACTGTAATTTGAGTCTAGTTACTTGAAAAGTACTTGAAAGTTACTTTTGAAATGATTTGCCTTCTCCTCCTCCCCAACTAAAGGCATAGTGATTTTCAGCTCTGTGACTAGCAGTGAAAATGCAACAGCTGGCCTGGAAACCAAGAAGCTTTCCTGTGATCACATGAATGGAACATGTACAGGTAACAGATGGATTTTAATTCCTGACAATGACATTGTTTTCAATAATGGAGAGGAAGACTGTTTAACTGATTAATTAATGTAGTAATTACAGTTACAGATTAGAAACCAAGAGCCTAGGAGTTCTAATTGTCCCTTGAGTATGGGTAGTTGAGTAACTATGAACCCATCCTACTTCACAGATTTGGGAAAAATAAGCAGTTTGCATTATCTATTCCATCTTGAGTTATATAGAAAATAAAGGCAGGAGAGAAATCTAATGAATAAATACTTTCCGTTGTAATTAAATGTAACAATGCACAACATTTTAGAAACTGGAAATCACCATTAGTAAGCTTTTATTTTGCAATATGTTAATTATAAATATATCCTGTTTTAATGATTCTTTAAAGAAATATAGATGCATACATTCTATTACTGATCAACAATAACTTTGAATTTATTTATTATTAAATTTATTTGCCACCCATTTCCTTTCCAATTATTAATAATCCCTTAATAAACATAATCTATTTAAGATTAAATTAATACAGTAGTGCAGTTTTTAATCCAAATCCAGGGACAATTGTCAAGAATTGGAAAATATCTGGATTTGAAAGAACTGTACTTGGGTCTGAGGATGCGAATGCTTTTGAATTTTCAAAGGTGTCAGGGTAGATGTAACCCATGGGAAAAAACAAAAAAAGTCAAAACAATCAAAGACGCCATGCAGAGACTGACAGAGAAAGAAATATGTTGATGTTCTGTATATTGCTTGCTAATGAGACCTCCAAGAACCATATCAGATTCTCTGCATAATGTAAGATCTAAATCTCTCAAAACTTTTGGTTTGCCTAATCTCTCACCAAGTTCAGAGTTTCACTAGGCTTATTTCCCATCTTGATAAATATCTTTTATTTTACATCCAACAATTGTTTTTAAATTGCTCTTGTTGTACCTTGCCAATTTTCTTAATTGAATATAGAGCCATTTCTCTCTCCTTCTTCTGTCCTCCTTTTCTCTCTTCCAATTATTTATATTTCATTCTTCAGCTGTCTTTGCTGTAAGAACCAATAACTAAGATAGAATATCAGCATATAACCTTAATCTGCAAAAATGAAGCCAGGAAGGCTAAGCTCAGAATGAATGAACGGAGACTTGCAACATGTGAAAAATAATAAGAAACATATAAAATAAGAAAAAAGTCAAATAAATAATTAGTCCACTAATGGAAGAAGGTGACAAAGAAGTGACATGGAGAAGGCAGAAAGCAAAGCTGCTTAATTCTTTTTTTGCATCTGTCTTCACACAAAAATAGCCCAACCTATAAAAGAGTCTAGGAATTCAAATTAAAATAGGGGGTGAGGAGATAAGAGAACACTTGTCCATTCTAGATGAGTTCAAATCAACAGGACCGGAGAGATTATATCCCACAGTTGTGCAAGAACTGGCAGATGGCATCTCAGAACCAAAGATTCTGGAGAACCGGGGAACTATCAGAGAACTGGAAAAGAGTTGATGTGGTTAAACCACAAACCAATAAGCCTGACTTCAATGCCTGGAAAGATCCTGGAAAAGATAATGAAGCAACAAATCAGAGAAAACTTAGAACAGGGATGTCAAACTGGCAGCCCATGGGCTGGATGTGTCACATGCAGGCCATAGCAACTTAGCAATAGCAATAGCAGTTAGACTTATATACCGCTTCATAGGGCTTTCAGCCCTCTCTAAGCGGTTTACAGAGTCAGCATATTGCCCCCAACAATCCGGGTCCTCATTTTACCCACCTCGGAAGGATGGAAGGCTGAGTCAACCCTGAGCCGGTGAGATTTGAACTGCACTCTAACCACTGCACCACCTCGGCTCTCGGCTCATTAACAAAGAAAGTGTTAATGTC